ATAATTTACATCTTGCCTACAATTCACTAGAAGATTACTGTAGCCTAAATTGTCTATCAGTTGTTTAATCTTATAGGCCCAGCAATTCACATTATTTCCATTGCTAAGATCTAAATATAATCTATACATAGGTGAATCCTGATTTTTCATTATTTTTAACCAATATTTAATAGCTCTTTCTTTACAAATAACAGAAAGTGGGTACCCCAGTTCACCAAGAACAGCTAAATTAGGAGTTTGTTAACACACAAAACAAGTTTACAAAATTTTATATGTATTTTATCTACTTCAGGAAATTCATAAATACCCCATACTTCAGAGCTATAGTGAATAATCGGTACAACCAAAGAAACAAAAAATGCAAGCTTCATTTTGATATCAAAATTTACTGTATCAAAAAGAGACAAAAGTGAATTATAGGCTTTAAGAGCTTGATCTGACAGAGCTTTAACAGACTTTTTCATGTTTCCTGTATAAGTAAAATTTACACCAAAATAAGTAAAATTATCTACTACCTCAATTTCTTCATCATTTATTTTCCAAACAAAATTATTGACTTGTTTTCTTTTCTCAAAAATACATATCTTTGTTTTATTAACATTTGTTTTAAGGCCCCATTTAATAGAATAGTTATTAACAATATCTAACTGAGCTAGCAAAGATTCAGGGTTAGTTGTGAATGAAGCAATATCATCAGCAAAAAAGAAGCATATACATATTTAACTGATTTAGGTCATTTTTAGTTAATAGGTTAAAATCAATATTTTCATTAATGTCATTAACGAAAAGAATAAATAATAATGGCAAAAGTGGTTCCCCTTGTTTTAAACTAATAGACACGTCAAAAACTCTGAAAAATTCATAGCAGACACTTGTACACAAGATTTAACATTTGCATATATAGACTTAATAATATTAAGCATTTTACAGCTGACACCTAGTTTTAAAAGCTTTACCCATAAGGCATCTCTAACAACTGTGTCGAACGCTTTTTCATAGTCAATGAATGCACAATACCATTTCGATTTATTAGTCAACACTTTTCGAATGATCGAATGATGGATCATGGTTTTTTGCGACGGACGCGCCCTCAGGCGCGTTCAGAGCTAAGTCATCTACATGGGATTTCGTCTGCTACACTCGCGCAAAGTGTCCTCAACCGATTAACAGCCCAAGAAAAAGTACATGAATTTGATCCTTTAAAACTCCCATGCTATGTCGGGATATCTTAAAATCTTCCATATTTAGCCTTTTCAATTTCAAATTAAGTTATCCAAGTTAAAATATGGACGTATATGATTGATAAAAACGTTGTAGTCCCGTAGTATTATTGCGCAATTATGCAAATTACTGCCGAAACGATTTACCGCTGTCGAAAAAGTAGGACAGCAAATTATACTATAATAAAGGTGTAAGCTCTGAGTTCCAAGAAATTATTAGTAGGAAATAAATATTTCTACATTATACAAAACATTATTATTAACAAATCAAAAGTTTTTTGGACTCTAGAATAACTCGCGCATTAATAAAAGAAGAACTATTTTCGTGACTCATACCGCGGGTTTAGCTGAATATTCAGCAGTTATTAATAAATTAGATACATTTTCTAGGTCACGATATGAGTTAACCTTCGCTATTCTAAAAATATATTCTGCTTTACCTGTGCTGATTTTCGGACAGTAGGGAGTACACATTATACATGTTATAAACCAGCGGATACTTACTTTGTTCACATGCAATACTTTTAGAAATTCTATACAATTGTAAGAAGCAAACAAGTTGAAAATGTAATTTAGTGTGAAAATGAAAAGGACAACTAAACACTATAGTGCTTTTAAAAAAAATTGTGACATTTAGATTAAAATAAAAACGATGTGCTCTGGCCCTTGCAAATAAAAGAAATCTAAAAAATACGGTGACTATTAATTGCTGATGATTTTAACCAAAGATATTTTTAATGAGACGTACATATCCAAAAGAAATAAAAATACAAATGACTTATATTTTATTGTCTATATGCCCACTATGTTAAAACACGAATCAATTCTAAATAACATTCTCACATGTATAATCACGGATTTATCCGTGGTATAATGTATTATGCTTGAAGTCTATTTGCATGGTTTTATTTTAGAAATATGTCGTTGAAAGTTTTTTTTCCATTTACATATCATTTCTTGGAATAAATCGATAATGACACTGATTTACAAGTTTGACCAGGGTTTTAGGCATATATTTCATTCTGCTTGAAAGTAGAAAATCTGGATTATATCAGATTGGGACACAAAATATATTGCTCCTTGTATGGAACAAATTTTCTCTGTTATAGATTCCTATATTTTGTGTTTTATTTTTTTTTTCTAAATAACCCTAAATGTCTCCCCGGTTGCATGTCCGTCGCATTCAGTGCTGCAGCACTTTGATTGTCTTGTGATATTATTGGATTGGCGGATACTAGATTACACGAAAACGATAATGATACTTCTGATCAGATACAGTGATACCATTTAATACGCAATGACCAGTGTAGTACATCAACATTTAAAAGACCTCCACGCGGATAACTAATTATCAATGTTAAAGATGATGCATAAATAAAATCTGCAGGGTGCTTTAGCTCCCAGAATTTTGTATTTGTTCTTCTGAATATTGCAAGAGTGAAATGCAAATTTGGGGTATTATAATTATAAATAAAAAAGTGTTTTTTTTCTGCTTTTTGCACTGTGCAGACAGAGAAACTCTTTCCACGTTTGGTACATTAAAAGCCTTTAGTTATTCTGGGTGATTTTAACATATCGATGTTTTTAAAATGCCATATGGGTGTTTTTCAGTATTTGTATGATAAGCTTAACTTATGATCACATCTCAATGATCCTACCATTGATTATCTATCTGCTTTAGACTTGATAATAACAAATATTGATGCCACTGTAGGTACAGTATAAACTTACTGGTCACAAGATTGTCTACTGCTGTTCTCAAAGAATCTCTATAAAATAAAATCCAAAGTGCTTACCTAGAAAACAACCTTTACTTGTTATGCTTACCAGTTCTACTTTAAAACCCCCCCCCCTCCTAGGATTAAAAGATATGGCATGCTGTAGAATAAACTTTGACCTTCACCTATAATTACTCATACTTCCAGCAAGTCAGTTGATCGATTCAGATCGAGCACCTCTTGTGTAATTTTGGATTTGCCACATGGAGGTGCAGTGGGAACTTGTGATACTCTGATCATAAAATTGTATTTCTCTGTGTGAATCCAAAATCTTTGCACCTCAACGCCTATCTAGCCAGGGTCTTTCAAATAGAACTCTATTTGAAAGACCCTGATCTAGCCTACATCTGTATCTAAGGAAAAGCAACGGGCTTTCACCCAGATTGTTATATACATGTTACAATGTCAAATATATAGATCTAGTTTGTAATTGTACAAGTATTTTACCTTTTATGCATTTGTTGTTACTGTGAAAAGTGTTTCCTTTTACAACAAACTCTACTCATTAATCTCATTGTATACATGTATACTACCTAGTCCTTTTCTATTTGTTTTGTGCGGTTTATACGTCATTTCAAAACATGGGTAGTAATTCCTTTCTAAAATGGGCCTGGCCTTTGTGCTGCGCAAGTGTCAGAAATTTATGAATGTTATATTTATATTTTGATAAAAATTAGATCTTTAGAGCAAATTGGGTTTGCCTAAAATACGAAAGTGAGATTTTTGACGAAAGTGAGCGAAAGTGAGCGAAAGTGACTTTTAAAATATTAATTGTAACGTTTTAATAGACTTTTACAATAAAATTGCAGTTTGTAGACGTATATTATTAGAAATAACTTATATTTATTATGAAAAATAATCATAATGATGATTTATTCGGTTTTTATTTGCATAATTAATATACACAAATTCTTATTACATTGAAAAATACGAAAGTGACTTATAAAATATACCGTTTAAATTGAAATTATTTTTACTATTATTGCACAAAGTGGACGTATAATATCAGAAAATGATAATATTTACTTTCAAGATAATCATTATGATGATTAAATCGCCATTTATTTTGAATAATCTCTATACACAAGTTATATACAGAGATCTTCCTTTTGCTCGCATTGAAAAATACGAAAGTAGCTTGCAAAATATCAAATATACTGTTTAAATTGAATGTATTACTAAAATTGCAATTAATTTGTAGACGTACAATATCAGTAGTCAATTATATTTATTTTTAAAAATAATCATTATGATGATTTAACCGCCCTTTATTTGCATTACACAAGTAAACAGATCTTCCTTTCCCTCACATTGAAAAATACGGAATGACTTCAAAAATGTCAAATATAGCGCTGAAAGACGCATGTTTTCAGAAATGAATAAAATATATTAAAAAAAATAATCATTATGATGATTTAATATCCATGTATTTTCATAATTGCTGTATACCTGTTCTGATATCTTACTTTTGCCCACATTGAACAATACGAAAGTGACTTAATCGGACGAAAGTCAATGTCAATATTCACGATATTAATGTTTTTTATAATAAAAAGATAAATGAGTCATTTTCATTATTATTCATGTTTTCATGGTGATTGATCTATAATTGATGATGAAAATGACTAGCACAAAATATTAAAAAAAATCCTAACTTATAAAAAGATTGAACTTTACCGATATATATAGTACGATATTTATAGAAAATTCCGTGGATTACTTATTTCCTTTTTTCATAGTGAAATATTATTTTAACAATGATGGGAAATTCCAAATTATTTTTCAAATTAACATTTTAATTTACTACCGTTCATCCTACATCAAAATGAGACAGAACTAAATTAGTACTATTAAACCTAATACAAGCGGATTAATTTGTGTAAAAAAGAGATAAAATTAAAATTTTCCAGAAACTTTTGTTCTTAGATAAATAATTTGATTTGTCTTGTATTTTTACACTTATATTTTTAACATTAATTGATTAAATGTTATAAAAAAAAATCAAAATATAGAGAAGTCAATGTTGGAAACTATTTATTTCACTGTTCTTCGGTTTTCCCGCAATAAGTCACAAAATTGGAAAAACAACAACATGTCGTGCACACAGGAAAAAGAAGAAAAGGCAGCTGATTATTGGCTTCTTGCACAATGTGTCTCTGTTGAAAAAAAGTTCCAAACCCACTTAAGGTACTTCATGCTGTAGTACTGACAAGCAACGTACGGTACAGTTTTCTTTGAATCCGGGTCAGCTCGGCCCTAAAATGTACTCGGCCCCCCCCCCCCCCGGGTCAACTCGGCCCACTTTTCAATTATTAATATTTAGGTTTGTGTTAACACTATTTGTTGTAATTATTGTAATTATTTATATTACACGGATTGACAGTTTCGAACTAGCTGCAGACAAGCTTTTCTTATCAGTAGAATTGCGAGTAAAGATAAACGATTGCATATCTCACTGTATTTCTACATATTTAACTTCTGTTCTGTTCTTTATTACTTTAACTAGATAATGCACAGACAAGGTCTTTCTATTTGATAGAAAAAAAAACAACGTATGACACGTGCAAATGAATTTCGGCAACAATCAATGCGCTTATACGGAATATTTAATTAGAAGCTTATGATATTAAGTAAACACGTTTTTGTTTCATTTTTTTAAAATATTACTTTACAAACACATTTTATTAGAATCTAGATCTATATTAATTTTATCGAATCTGCAAGACAGATAAATAACATTTTTTTTCTAAATATACTTTATTTCAGAAGAAGTACAATGTATAATTATATAGTAATAAGATATTTCTTATTATTCATTTACCTTAACAACATGCAAAGCAAAGTTAATTATACGTTATATATATTTTTGTAAAGTGGGCCGAGTTGACCCGTGCCGAGATGACCCGTGCCGAGTTGGTATAGGGCCGAGTTGACTCTTTTCCTTTTCTTTAACTGTTTAAGATTAATTTCACAATTTTTTCTGCCAAGTAGATTTGACAAAATAAAAAACAGATTGAATAATTTAGATGTGACATTGACCTTTGATTGACCTTTTTTTCCCAGTTATACGTTAAATATGCCGATTTAATCATTTAATGGACTCCGCCTATTTACGTTTTTTATGGAGAGTTTGGAGGGACTTTCGGGTTAGAAGGAATAATAAACATTACCTTTCAGCTTTAATACAATATACAATAAATCCACAAAAATATGTTTAAATCCAGAACTTAAAAACAAAACCCATACAGGAACAGACTGAAGTATCAGTAAAAGTACACCCGATTTTTACATATGTCCATACAATAAATGGCAGTGTTTCTTACATTAATATTGTAATAATAATAATAATAATAATATCTTTATTTAAAGAAGGTTACACATTAAGAACATACAATAACAATCATATATATCTTATTTCCAATGTGGCCTTCTGAAATAGAAAACAGCAACAACAACAACAGGACATGCATAGGTAGAAAATTGAATGTATAATATGTAATATTTAGAATATTACAACTCATATACTTTCGACAGACACTCAACAATTTGTTTTAACATATACGTATATTGCATCATTCGTTCGTTCGTTCATTCGTTCGTTCATTTATTAATTAATTCATTCATTCATTCACTCACTCATTCATTCATATGAACATCAAGATATGCTTTGTATTTTTCTTTAAAACATTTAAGGTTATTAACATTACGAATATTTAAAGGTATATTGTTCCAAATGTTCATGCCATAATAAGAAAATGTGTCTTTAATATAGTTTGTTTTAGGTCTTGTCCATAATACAATATCTTTTCGTGACCTAGATCTTAAGTTATATATTTTGTTGTCGGATAAAGTCATCAGTTCTGTCATATAAGTCGGTGCCATGTTATTTAAAGTTTTAAAAACAAGCACCGCCGTGTGGTATTTACATCTGTCAAGGAACGGTCAACATGACAGAAATACATGTACCGTATTATTATAATCACCTGCAGCAGAAAAATAGAGTGAACAATTTCAATACTGCACATGCTGCCATATTATATTTGAATTAATATTATATTAATAATAAAATTTGATATCAATTAAGACAAAAATAGTTATATAGTAATGTGGCAGATTTTTAATTAAGGAGTCATTTTTAGATCAGAAGGGAGTTAGCACTACAACATTCCTTTTTGCATAAGTTCGCCAAAGTTTGTCCTCTAATTTGTTTAAATTTTGCCGAAATATTTACCATACAGTGCTGTAACTCAACTCTATGTATTAAATTTATACCGCACCTATTTACATAATGCACTCGATTTTAATGGGCGGGGCTAGCTGCAAGTCGGTTATAGGTTATAGGTTATATACAGAGTTTTAAGAAACTAATTTTCTCGCTTCACTTCATTCGCTCTAAAATTAATTTCTTAAAACTCTGTATATAACCTATAACCTGTACTTATTTTTCTAGAAAAGCATATTAATTTTGCTCTTACTGATTTCTCAAAATGGACTTGGTCACCTCCATTTTTTTAAACTGTCTATTATCAATTTTGGGGAAGTCAAGATGAAAATTGTAAGAGTTAGTCTCTCAAATTTGAAGTCACTTCTGAATGAGGGTTTGGATAGCATGGAATCAAACTAAAAGTGCATGCAACACCTGGACTTTTGGTAATACAGTGTGTTACCACTGAACTACTGCATCCATTCAATCATAGATTTATTTCACCCTTCATCTGCTGAATTTCTTAAATTGTCTATTCCTGATTTCATTTTATCAATATGTCACAGGGTGAGAAAAATGTGCAGGCTGACAAAGACTCGAACCCTGGACCCTGGGAATACCGTTCAGCAATTTACCAACTGACCTATCCAGCCACTTACACACTATCTCCCCTAAATAGTGGACAGTTCTGAACCATGACATACTCAATCCCCTCTGTATTGAAATTTGTCTTTGAATTTTACAAAGTTACAGAGCAATGTAAATTAAACTCTTGAGCTATAATTATGTAGCCACAGTTCCCCATTGGGGGCCAAATGTTACAGAGTGAGGAAAATGTACAGCCTGACCAGGACTCAAACTTGGGACCCTCAGAATACAGTATCGCCGCTCTACCGACTGAGCTGTCTGGCTGCTTACACATTATCTCCCCAAATTAGTGAACAGTTCTGAATAATGACAAATATTTGGGGATATCAAGATGAAAATTAAAATTTAATTGACCAAAAATTTAGAGCCAGGCCAGTCTGCACAAATGTTCAGATTGGCCAAGCTCTATACTGATGGAAATGCCTTATGAGTTATTTTTTTCCCCAGCAAGTTAAAAAGTTTAAGCCCTCACTAATAGTGTATTTGCAACAGCCATAATCTCTTAATCCAATTGTACCTGTCTATTGGTGACTGGTAAAGGTGGTCAGTTTTAATTGATTAATAATTGAGGATAAGGATCACAGCACAAAGTAAAGCCCCTAGCATTACTGCACAATAATTTATCCAACTGTAACAATGTGACAAAATACAGGGTCACATGATCTTTTTTTTCACACACTCACAAGATAACAGTTAATGCCCAGCTGTTTTCATGTACATTTTGTAGTAAGTACAATTGACCAACAACATTTTGAATTTAGTTCTTAGCAAATGCTTTATATGTAAGTAGCCTATTTATTTATAGGGAAACATAATAATGTTAATTTAAACTGTTAATTTACCTTCTCAGATGTTTAAATAAACCACGTTATTGTCAATTTTAGGTATTCCTGTAATGATGAATTTCAAAGTTGTCTACTTGCAATTAAATTTGTAAACACATTCACATTATACATGTACTGTGTAAACATTAATAACAAACTATTTTTTTTCTATTTTCAGGTGAGTTACAAAGTGGCTACAGAAGACAATTATTTGAGAGAGCCAATGGTGTAATAACCAAGGATATGTTGCAAGTTAAAACAGACATACTTGATGTTTAATTCAGACACTTTATCCAGTTGATGAACTAGTAAGTAAGTCTAAGAGTTTACTTCTTGTGATTCTTATTTAATATTTTATGAACTTTTTTTTGCGCCCATTTAGGGGGGGAGCATTTAGATTTACCCCTGTCTGTCCATTCGTCCATCTAGCCTTCATCCATTCTCATTTTGTGTCGCACATAGCTCAAAAAGTATTTGGCATAGAGTCATGAAACCTTACAGGGATATTGCTCAGCATGTGAAGTTGTCCACGCGAAGTTGTGCACCTGAAATTTGCTTGTGGATTTATTCTGTTTTGTTAGAGTCATTGCCCTTGACTTAGTAAAAATTTGCAATTTTCAACTTGTGTCACACATACCTCAAAAAGTATTTGAACTAGAGTCATGAAACCTTACAGGAATATTGCTCAGCATGTGAAGTTGTGCACCTGGGTATTTTCGAGTGGATATATTTAGTATTTTTAAAGTTATTGCCCATGGCTTAGTAAAAAATAACAATTTCCAGCTTGTCCATGCATAGCTGAAAAAGTATTTGACCTGCAGGCCTGAAAGTTTACAAGAATGTAGGTCAGCATATGTACTTATGCACCTTGGGGTTCGCTTGTGGATTTATCCAGTATTTGTAGAGTTATTGCCCTTTACTTAGTGTAAATCGAGAATTGTAGATGTTTTCCGTTAAAAATAGTCAAGAATGCGCAGATTTCAACACTTTTCTTTATTCTCATTCATGGAATAATATATCAATGTGATACAACAATGCGATTCTCTGAAAATAATAAATAAACAAACTAAATACTGATTACAACGCATTTAAATAAAATACAATAAATTGTCTAAAATAATAATGCTAATACAAGTCATAAATATACGATATCACCTTTACAATTATAGACTTAAATCTATTAAAATAATATTGTTATTTTATATTTCCGCGAATAATTCCGTTTATAATTTAATTCACGGCAAATATTGTAAAGTTCATCATCATTTAAACAATATTGAATTTACTATTAAAATTCATACATAATTAATAACTTGCTTACCGATTATGATCTACTTTCCATTGGAAAACATCAATAAACAAAACACATCAACAATTTAAGCACTTCCGCCCAAGGCAAAACAACATATCAAAGTAACGGTTAATGACGTCACCGTAAAACAATTTAATGACGTCTTTTTACGGGAAACAAAATAAGACGTTACGTTTGGCGGAAATAGTGAAGCTATGTTAAATTGAAAGAGTCAAACAATGTTTTTAATAGTAAATACTATCGAAAAAATCAAACTATGAAAATTATGTGATTATAATAAATAAATTTACAATTAAGAACTATAATTCTTACACTCCCCACCATGAAACGTTACGATTTCATCTTATACAAACAATAGCTTATTGTAATGTATACCTTTACTTAAATAGAACATTCTAGTAGGCAAAGTTTAGTTATTGGTCTTAAGAATTGTGACATACTAGTTTTGACCACACAGCTTCGTGTATGCCCGTCCAGACCCACATTTATAGATTCAACCCTGCCCAACGGCCACTGCCCCTTGGTATGTTTTCCTGAGCCACGAGTACAATATCGCCCTCACGGATATCTCTTTGTGGTCTCAGCCATTTTTGTCGATATTGTAGGGTAGGTATATATTCCCGAATCCATCGTTTCCAGAATATATCAGCAAGATACTGAGCCTGTCTCCACCTTCTCTTTGCATATGTATCTTCTTTTCTAAAAATGCCACGTGGAATACATGTATTGGACTTTAGTAATAAAATCATGCTTGGAGTTAAAGCTGGGGGGTCTTTTGGGTCATCGCTTACTCGGGTAATGGGTCTATCATTAAGTATTTTTTCAACCTCAGTTACAACAGTAAGAAGTTGTTCATCTGTCAGAAGCTGCTCTTTGACTAACGATCTCAAAATTGCACGTGTCGATCGTATCATCCGTTCCCATATACCGCCCATGTGACTAGCTGACGGAGGGTTAAAGTTCCATTCGATTTCCCGCTGCAACATGAATTGTCCAATTTCGGATTGATTCCAATCTCGTAAGGACTTGCGTAATTCACAATCTCCACTTACTAGATTGGTTCCGTTGTCACTATATACCTTTTCCGGTAGACCTCTCCGGCTAATAAATCGTTGCAATGCGGCGCTAAACGAATCTGTACTCAAACTATGAGTAACTTCTAAATGGACGGCCCTTAAACAAGAAAAAATACACCCATATCTCTTTACTTGTGACTTTCCTGATTTTACCATCAAAGGACCAAAAAAGTCTATGCCGATAAATGAAAACGGTGGTTTATCTGGTGTGATTTGCTCATCAAGTAACGGTCCCATTTGTTGCTTACAAAGCGGATTGTTCTTGCGTTTACATGGTACATAATTCCTTACTACCTGTTTGACAGCGCTATGTCCATTTATTATCCAGTATCTTGTTCGTGTAGCTGCTAAAACTTGTTGTACTCCGACGTGACCTTGACTTTCGTGGTAAAAACGTATCATTAAAGTAGTTAAATGATGCCGTTTCGGTAGAATGATTGGACATTTCGTTTCATCATGGTAAATAATGCGTCCTTTTGTACGTATTAAACCATCTTTAAGTATTGGATTTAATGAAGCTATCGGACTTTCACCTTTAACATTAGTTCCTTTTTGCAAGTTTATTACCTCATCGGCAAAGCATTCCATCTGAACGTATTTCACAACTGCGTGAGAAGATGTCTTAAGTTCAGACAAGGTGAGATTACCTTTTTCAACCACTACATCATGATGCAGATATCGCTGTTTGCAATAATCCTTGTATCTCAAAAACCATGCCACTGCACGTCTAAGTTTGAACCAATCAGAGTAGTATTCAATTATCTTCCCAATAGTATCACAAGTGGTAACGTTAATAGCAATTTCTCTCTTAACCTCGACATCATCTTCACTCACTTCCGGGATATTATTACCTGAATACTTAGGCCAGTGTTCCCTACCTTTACTAAGAAATGTTGGTCCATGCAGCCAAACATCTAACTTGTCTGTCTCAGAAGCGTTGATACCTCTTGAAGCTATGTCTGCTGGATTTGAACTTGAATCAATATGGTGCCATTGATTTGGACTTGTAGTATCATGAATGATGCTAAGCCTATTTCCGACGAACGTTTTAAATCTTCTTGAAGTATTTCTGATATATCCTAGTAGTATCATCGAATCCGTCCAAAACGTAACTTCATCTATCTTAATATCGAGTTCCTCAGCAAGACATTGATATAAGCGACAAGCGACCACAGCTCCAGATAGTTCCAGTCTCGGTATAGTTATTTGTTTTATGGGGGCTAGACGAGATTTACCCATGACGAGACAGCATGTTATATTCCCCGTGTTGTCAGTGAGTCTCAAATACGCGCATGCGCCGTAACCTACTTCCGACCCGTCACTGAAAATATGCAACTGTGCATTAATTACTGATCCAAATCCTGGTGGTAGGAAACATCGATCTATCGTGATGTCCGCCAATCGCGGCAGGAAACGTAACCAACTTTGCCATTCTTCATCATAGTTGTCCGGAATTTGCTCGTCCCAGCCTAGCTTTTCTCTACACAAGTTCTGAATAATGAACTTTGCTTTCAGAATTATTGGCGACACAAGTCCAAGAGGGTCAAATATTGAACTTAGTGTTGATAATATCCCGCGCCTCGTTGAAGGGTTACTTTTTAAGTCAACCTTGTACTTAATTGTATCATTGTTTACGTCCCAAATAATACCCAATGCTTTGTCATTACATTTTTCACCAGGGGTTAAGCTGACAACCGATTTGGCAAGATCTGATTCCGGTATTGTCTTTAAAACATTTCTACTGTTACTGAGCCATTTTGTTAAGCGAAATCCTCCCAAAGACAGCATTTTCTTTAAATTCATAGCCAAATCAATAGCTTCCTGCTCAGATGGGACAGACTTTAGACAGTCATCAACGTAAAAATTCTTCTCAACTGTCAGCGCAACTTCCGGTTTAAACAGATGCGAGAAATCTTTCGCTGTTCTTTTAAGTGCATACGCAGCACAACTCGGAGAAGATGTAGCACCAAATAAATGGACATTCATGCGATATTGCTTAGGAATCTTGTCCAATTCTCCATTAGGCCACCAGAGAAACCTTAAAGCATCACGATCTTCCTCGATAACACGAACTTGGTGAAACATTGCTTCAATATCTGCAATAAATGCTATTCGTTCCTGTCTAAACTTTATAAGTACACCGACTAGACTGTTCATTAAATCAGGTCCTTGCAAAAGTTGACTGTTAAGCGACATTCCTTTGTATTTAGCAGCACAATCAAACACTACACGTACTTTTCCCGGCTTGTTAACATTTATCACGGGATGATGCGGCAAATACCAAACCCGCTTTGTTTCTGGTACAATGTGATCCACTTCAGAGGCATATCCATTCGCAATGTAATCATTCACAGTAGTTCTGTACATATCATGCAAATTATTGTCATTTGACAACTTGCGCTTCAACTGCTGTAATCTGGCTTGGGCAAGCGGTATATTATTTACGAATGATGAATTTCTATCACGCCAAGGAAGACCAAGCTTGTAATGACCATCCTCGCGAGTTAATGTTGACTCCATGGATTTCATAGCATTTTTATCTTCTACAGACATGCAACTCTTCACTTGTGATTTATCATTAAAGTCTGTTGTCCACAAACGCTCAATTTGTTGCTGTAACAACATGTCACGTGACTCAAAGAAATTTATATTAATATCGTTGGATTCTTTCATAGTTGGGACTGGACCGCGTATAGCCCATCCAAGACGAGTGCGTATCGCGTACGGTTCATCGCTATTTCCGAATTTCACTTCTAGCGGTATATGTGCAACAGGTGAATCCGTCCCTATTAACATCATAACGTCATTAGTGTCTATATCTGGAATATTTATACCGGATAAGTACGGTAAGTTTCGGATATCTGCATATTTAGCTGCAGATCGAGTTGATATCGGTAATGACTTTACTGACCAGACTTTTCTTAGGGTAATACTTTCATTCCCATCGATAGGTTGAATATCTAAGTCGGCCTCCTGACCATGTATAATACCTTCACGTGAGTTTGCCGTAGACATCCGGAATGTGACGGGCTTACCGGTTATATTCAGGCTCCGTAACAATCTTTCATCACATAAGGTTTTATCGGCCCCATCATCTAGCAGGGCATATGTCTGACAAGAACTACCGTCCCCACCCCTAACTATTACAGGAATAATACCCAGACAATTTTTTACAGTTGAACCTTCTGTTGCTGCACAGTTACACGACGACTGCACTGCTGTGTGGCCATTATCGGGTTTTACCCAACTATGTAACAAAATGTGGTGTTTGACATTACAATTAGTAACATTACATATTTTTGGTTTTCTACACTTGTTTGTAAAATGTTTACCTTTTAAACAATTGTAACACAATTTAAGTGATCTTACCAGTTTATAACGATCATTGAGACTCATTGACTTGAACTTGTTACACAGTGATAACTCTGCACAGTTACCTGAACAACAAATGCATTTACTACTTTCATGACCGTTTTCTTCAGTATGTGTACACAGAGTAGTAACCTTTGGTCTATCATTACTGTAATATTTGCCAGAACTGTTTCTGGTTTCTTTCTTGATAAAATCATTGTTTTTACAAAGATCATAGCTATACATGGAGTTAGCGATACGTGATTTTTCGTCTACAAATTTAGACAAATCTGAAAAGCGCGGCACTCTACCTGACTCATTTATATAATGTGCTACTTCTACCCATTTTACTCTTATATGTGTTGGGAGCCGCTTGACAATGCATCTTAAATTTTCTGTATTATCAATATCAGAGGAAAATCCTAACTGAGAAAGTGTAATTTCACATTTCTGCATCTCTAAAGATAATTTAGATAGCCCTTCAACATCGGACGCTTTAATCTGAGCACCATTTACCAAGTTATCAATGTAAGACCTTGCAATTAAATGTGGTCTGCCAAATCTAGACAATAATATTGACCTAGCACGTTTATAACCTTCTTCCGGTTCTAACAAAACACAATCTTCTATACTAGATTTTGCCTTACCTGTACAATACTGAATGAGATAACTTAGCTTTAAATTATTGTCACTTATTCTGCTTTCAATGTTTGTTTCAAATGTTTTTGATAAATTTGCAGTATCCTTCAGGCTTCCCATCAAATGTCAAAAGTTCTGGCTTCGGTAAGTTGAATCCTTCATGGAGTGCTGACGCCAATCTTTGAAATGATCTGTCAATGTTCGATGTCTCACTGTCAACTTCCGGTATACACGATCTGTTTATTTCCGGTCTGGGCTGTCACGGCTGTGTCAAAGTTATATTTCTCACAGAATCTGTACGGTTGTTCACCTGAATATAATCAATCATATTATTTTGTACGTCAGGCTGAGCATTTTGATTATTAGATATGACCCCGGTTTCTTCCTGTGTTGTTTCTAACCACACCATTTCTTCTATCTCTGCTTCTTCTAATTCCGACTGCTGATCTAACAACTGTTGTTTCATTTCAAGATCCCGGCGAGCTCGTTCAAGTTCTTGTTTCTTTTTAAGTTGTTTTAATTTGTGTTCTGCTATTAAACGCTTTGCTTAAGCACTTTGTAATTTCCGGCGCGACGAGACTGAAGCACGTGAACTTCCATGGCTGACATTTGACTCTGCGTCATTTTCTATAGGAATATTTTCTCCATCTTGCGGTCCAATAGCTCCCGCGATCCACTGAGAAAATCTTTCCCTGAATTCTTCAAAGTTCTTTAAACAGCTCTCAAAGTTCGCTTCCAAGTCTGCAACAACTTCCGGTTGCGCGCACAAATCTAAACATTGTAAATGCACTGATTTGAAATGTTCAAAGCGTTCACATAATTTATTGTTCAGTAGTTTTACCTCTTCTATATTATTGTAGGACATCATGCTCTTTTCAAGTTCATTGTATAGTTTCGTCAGTAACATAATGAGCGCCATTTGCACTTCTTGATCTCTTCAAACTGACAAACTCCTGATTACAAGTTTCCGCACTATTTGTTGACGGCATTTTCGTCACAGTAAAATCGAGAATTGTAAAATCGAGAATTGTAAATCGAGAATTGTAAATCGAGAATTGTAGATGTTTTCCGTTAAAAATAGTCAAGAATGCGCAGATTTCAACACTTTTCTTTATTCTCATTCATGGAATAATATATCAATGTGATACAACAATGCGATTCCATGAAAATAATAAATAAACAAACTAAATACTGATTACAACGCATTTAAATAAAATACAATAAATTGTCTAAAATAATAATGCTAATACAAGTCATAAATATACGATATCACCTTTACAATTATAGACTTAAATCTATTAAAATAATATTGTTATTTTATATTTCCGCGAATAATTCCGTTTATAATTTAATTCACGGCATACTATTGTAAAGTTCATCATCATTTAAACAATATTGAATTTACTATTAAATTCATACATAATTAATAACTTGCTTACCGATTATGATCTACTTTCCATTGGAAAACATCAATAAACAAAACACATCAACAATTTAAGCACTTCCGCCCAAGGCAAAACAACATATCAAAGTAACGGTTAATGACGTCACCGTAAAACAATTTAATGACGTCTTTTTACGGGAAACAAAATAAGACGTTACGTTTGGCGGAAATAGTGAAGCTATGTTAAATTGAAAGAGTCAAACAATGTTTTTAATAGTAAATACTATAGAAAAAATCAAACTATGAAAATTATGTGATTATAATAAATAAATTTACAATTAAGAACTATAATTCTTACACTTAGTAAAAACTATTTCATTATGTTGTGTTATTTGTTCCTCCAGTGCTTGAGTTAGAATCAACCAACTTTACAGGAATAATGATCAACATCACTGTGAAGCTATGCACCTGGGATTTGCATGTGGAGTTCTTCAGTTTTGTTAGAATTATTGCCCTTGACTTATTATAAATTTGAAATTTTCAACTTGTTCATGCATAGCTCAAAAAGTATTAGACCTGCAGGCCTGAAAGTTTACAAGAATGTTGGCAGCATGTGTACTTATGCACCTTGGGTTTCGCTTGTGAATTTATTCAGTATTTGTAAAGTTGTTGCCCTTCACTGAGTAAAAGATTTTTAGTTTTTAACTTGTGGCACACAGATAGTGGCAGCATGGCTGTGTGGTTAACGGGTCAGACTAGTAATCTAATGATCACTAGCTGCATGGGTTCAAACCCCTTCAGGGGCAAGTCGTTTCCTTGAACAAAAAATTTTACACTTGTTGCTCAGTACTGGTTGATTCGAAAGTTTGTCTATAAGCTTATAGCTTCCTACACAATCAAACTAAAATAAATTCTGTATATAAAATAAACCAGAATTAAGATTTAGTTGTTACAATAATTTCGCAAACCCTGTAATTGTATGTGTAAATATTTCTACATACTTTGATGCATTGGGTGACTTGGTTGTTAAAGATTCTGCAAAATATCTCTTGCTGTTGAATGCTTCTAGGGACTTTGAATTAATTTGTGTGTTTCTTAAAACTTGTGTCTCTTCAAAAATGTAGGTACAGTCAGGAGTATAGGTAAGGTACAGTTTGGTGAAAATAGTGTGAATCTTGATAAAAATGTTCCATATACAACAAGTTAAAATAGTTTCCTGCGGGGGAAAAGTTTTAATGATTAAAAGATATTTCATTTAACTATTTTCAAAATTGTTTAAAAAAACATTTGTATCGAGAATTATATTGACAATAAATGTAACATATCAATAGTAGAAGGTCTTTGTAAAATGGAGAGGGTCGACCCTGGCGTTGGGTCTGGATTACACATTTGGTACCACCTCACTTATTTCCTATATCCTTTGAGGTATATTACTTCGAGACTTTGAATACTTGTTAGTGACCAACATGCCCATTTTCTTTGGTAGTTTAGCACGCAGGAAGGTAGTCTAGTACTGGTGTAACTCTCCAGGAACGATGGTTAGGAAACTACCCGCCTATATGACTGAAATACTGTTGGGAAAAGGCGTAAAATGAAACAAACAAACATGCCCATTTTGGCAAGATAACATAACTCTGTCATAGATATTGACCAAGTTATGCCCCTTATTCAACTTTCTGGACCCCTTGACTTTTAGTTAGACAGTGTTTTCACTGAACTACTGCATCAATTCTATCATACATCTATTTCACCCTTCATCTGCTGAAATTCTTAAATTGTCTATTAAGAACTATCCATTATCAATATGTCACAGGGTGAAAAAAAAGTGCAGCCTGACTGGGACTCAAACCCGAGACGCTTGCAATACTGTTCCATGGCTTAACCGACTGAACATTCCAGCGGCTGACACATATTTTCCCCTAAATAGTGAACAGTTCTGAACCATGACACACTTCCCGCTTTATTGAAATTCGTCCTCGAATTTCACAGAGTTACAGAGGAATGTAAATTAATCTCTTAGCAATATGTATTCATAGTCCCCCATTGGGGGCCAAATGTCATAGGGTGAGGAAAATATGCAGCCTGATGGTGACTCGAACCCTGGACCCTTGGAAAAACCATACTTCGGCTCTACCCACTGAGCTGTCCGGACACTTACACAATCTCTTTTTATAAGCGAACAGTTCTGATCCATGACAGATATTTAGGGATACCAAGATGAAAATTAATATTTATTCAACCAAAAATTTAGAGCCAGGCCAGTCTGTACAGTTAATGCCCAGTTATTTTCATGTACATTTTGTAGTAAGTACAATTGACCAACAACATTTTGAATTTAGTTCTTAGCAAATGCTTTATATGTAAGTAGCCTATTTATTTATAGGGAAACATAATAATGTTAATTTAAACTGTTAATTTACCTTCTCATTTGTTTAAATAAACCACGTTATTGTCAATTTTAGGTATTCCTGTAATGATGAATTTCAAAGTTGTCTACTTGCAATTAAATTTGTAAACACATTCACATTATACATGTACTGTGTAAACATTAATAACAAACTATTTTTTTTCTATTTTCAGGTGAGTTACAAAGTGGCCACAGAAGACAATTATTTGAGAGAGCCAATGGTGTAATAACCAAGGATATGTTGCAAGTTAAAACAGACATACTTGATGTTTAATTCAGACACTTTATCCAGTTGATGAACTGGTAAGTGAGTTTAAGAGTTTACTGCTTGTGATTCTTTTTTAATATTTTATGAACTTTTTTTTGCGCCCATTTTAGGGGGGGGGAGCATTTAGCTTTACCCCTGTCCGTCCATTCGTCCATATAGCCTTCATCCATTCTCATTTTGTGTTGCACATAGCTCAAAAAGTATTTGACATAGAGTCATGAAACCTTACAGGGATATTGCTCAGCATGTGAAGTTGTCCACGCGAAGTTGTGCACATGAAATTTGCTTGTGGATTTATTCTGTTTTGTTAGAGTAATTGCCCTTGACTTAGTAAAAATTTGCAATTTTCAACTTGTGTCACACATACCTCAAAAAGTATTTGAACTAGAGTCATGAAACCTTACAGGAATATTGCTCAGCATGTGAAGTTGTGCACCTGGGTATTTTCGAGTGGATATATTTAGTATTTTTAAAGTTATTGCCCATGACTTAGTAAAAATAACAATTTTCAGCTTGTCCATGCATAGCTGAAAAAGTATTTGACCTGCAGGCCTGAAAGTTTACAAGAATGTAGGTCAGCATATGTACTTATGCACCTTGGGGTTCGCTTGTGGATTTATCCAGTATTTGTAAAGTTATTGCCCTTTACTTAGTAAAAACTATTTCATTATGTTGTGTTATTTGTTCCTCCAGTGCTTGAGTTAGAATCAACCAACTTTACAGGAATAATGATCAACATCACTGTGAAGCTATGCACCTGAGATTTGCATGTTGAGTTCTTCAGTTTTGTTAGAATTATTGCCCTTGACTTAAATTTGAAATTTTAAAGTTGTTGCCCTTCACTGAGTAAAAGATTTTTAGTTTTTAACTTGTTGCACACAGATAGTGGCAGCATGGCTGTGTGGTTAACAGGTCAGACTAGTAATCTAATGATCACTAGCTGCATGGGTTCAAACCCCTTCAGGGGCAAGTCGTTTCCTTGAACAAAAAATTTTACACTTGTTGCTCAGTACTGGTTGATTCGAAAGTTTGTCTATAAGCTTATAGCTTCCTACACAATCAAACTAAAATAAATTCTGTATATAAAATAAACCAGAATTAAGATTTAGTTGTTACAATAATTTCGCAAACCCTGTAATTGTATGTGTAAATATTTCTACATACTTTGATGCATTGGATGACTTGGTTGTTAAAGATTCTGCAAATTATCTCTTGCTGTTTGAATTAATTTGTGTGTTTCTTAAAACTTGTGTCTCTTCAAAAATGTACGTACAGTCAGGAGTATAGGTAAGGTACAGTTTGGTGAAAATAGTGTGAATCTTGATAAAAATGTTCCATATACAACAAGTTAAAATAGTTTCCTGCGGGGGAAAAGTTTTAATGATTAAAAATATTTCATTAAACTATTTTCAAAATTGTTTAAAAAACATTTGTATCGAGATTTATATTGACAATAAATGTAACATATCAATAGTAGAAGGTCCTTGTAAAATGGAGAGGGTCGACCCTGGCGTTGGGTCTGGATTACACATTTGGTACCACCTCACTTATTTCCTATATCCTTTGAGGTATATTACTTCGAGACTTTGAATACTTGTTAGTGGCCAACATGCCCATTTTCTTTGGTAGTTTAGCACACAGGAAGGTAGTCTAGTATTGGTGTAACTCTCCAGGAACGATGGTTAGGAAACTACCCGCCTATATGACTGAAATATTGTTAGGGAAAAGGCGTAAAATGAAACAAACAAACATGCCCATTTTGGCAAGATAACATAACTCTGTCATAGATATTGACCAAGTTATGCCCCTTATTCAACTTTCTGGACCCCTTGACGGTTAGTTAGAGAGTGTTTTCACTGACCTACTGCATCAATTCTATCATACATCTATTTCACTCTTCATCTGCTAAAATTCTTAAATTGTCTATTAAGAACTATCCATTATCAATATGTCACAGGGTGAAAAAAAAGTGCAGCCTTACTGGGACTCAAACCCGAGACCATTGCAATACTGTTCCATGGCTTAACCGACTGAACATTCCAGCGGCTGACACATATTCTCCCCTAAATAGTGAACAGTTCTGAACCATGACACACTTCCCGCTTTATTGAAATTCGTCCTCGAATTTCACAGAGTTACAGAGGACTGTAAATTAATCTCTTAGCAATATGTACTCATAGTCAAATATTGCCCTTGACTTAGTAAAAATTTGCAATTTTCAACTTGTGTCGCACATAACTCAAAAAGTATTTGACGTAGTCATAGTCATGAAACTTTACAGAAATGTTGGTCAGCATGCAAAGTTGTGCACTTTGGGTTTTGCTTGTGGATTTATTCTGTTTTTGTCAGAGTTATTGCCCATGACTTAGTAAAAATTTGCAATTTTCAGCTTGTTCATGCATAGCTCAAAAAGTATTTGACCTGCAGGCCTGAAAGTTTACAAGAATGTATATCAGCATATGTACTTATGCACCTTGGGGTTCGCTTGTGAATTTATCCAGTATTTGTAGAGTTATGGCTCTTTACTTAGTAAAAACTATTGCATTATGTTGTGTAATTTGTTCCTCCAGTGCTAGAGTTAGAATCAACCAGCTTAATGTTAATTTGCAATTTTTAACTTGTGTTGCATCTAGCTCAAAAAGTATTTGAACTAGAGTCATGAAACCTTACAGGAATATTGCTCAGCATGTGAAGTTGTGCATCTGGATATATTTAGTATTTTTAAAGTGATTGCCCTCTACTTAGGCCTAAAAAAAAAAATTGTTCTGTTCGGGTCACCCGACCCTACCTAATAATATGCGCCGACCCTACCATTTTTTTAGTGTCCAAAAAAAAAAAAAAAAAAAATCCATAAAAATACCGTATTATTGAGGTACTCAATGAGCAGTGTGAAGGGCAATTCAGGCGAAAATTTCGCTGTTTATATTTCCATTTCGCTCTCCCAATTGATCAAAGAGAAGTCAACAACGCCGATAAAATCTTAATTCCCAAAGAGTAATTACTTGCCGATGTAAATAGCAGAGGTTGTATCCGCCCATATGACGACTGCTAATTATCATTATCCAATCAGAGCATCGCTATATACTACCCTTCTACCTGTATGCAAAGCGATAGACCGCCTACTCTAAACAGTAAATAATGAGAGCATCGGCCCGAAACGAGTATATTTTGGGTTTTTCAAGGCTATCACAAAACTGTTACTAAGTCAATTCGAAAAAATCTTATGACTGGTATGTTGTAGACAGTGAGAGTGTTTTGCATTGTTATCTTTGTAGAAATGCCAAATTTGACACAGCTTGTACGCTCATATATATTTGTTTTAATGTCATAAATATGACGCTCAGATTAAGATTTATTAATATTGTAAATTTCAAAAAGCATTATTTATAAAGATATTACAGAGTTTAACATTTCATGAAAATAAAGGGAGGTAATTAGAAATTTATTTTCTATAATTTCTCAGTCGAATTTTTCAATAAGAAATGAATGTATATAATTTTAGTGATCAAATATAATGTGCTTAAATGTTTGCAGTACATATTTTACATATTCTTCGATATTTGAAAATTGTTTTATAAGCATAATTACTGTCCTAAGATGATAATTTGGTCTTAACGGTACATGGGAAAGTCGAAAAACGGGGTTATCTGGCTTATTATCCGATATCGTAAAAGTAAACATTTACATATACTATATAGCATTATTCTTACAGAGTTGTTTGTGTATTACAGTTATGGCTCTGTCGGTAGGTCGGAGTATTTGTAACTATTAGTGTTTTGTACTCATAGGTTCGAACCCCACTTAGTGTCATTTTATAACAACAGTTTTTTCTTCTTACTTTGTTATTTTATCATTATTCTGTATTTATTTTTCGTTTTCGTTTTTGTTTTCTTCTTATAATATATATTTTATAGTATATATTTATTTCTTTTATTTCCATCTATTTTCTTTGTGTATTTTTTTATGGCAGGGTAATAAAATATTTGATATCATATTCATGTATGTATATAAAAAAACCCGTCAAACTTGTTTTCTGAACAATTGGCTGTTCTGAGGTAAAAAAAAATGTGTCTTACCAGTAGTCGAACTTCTGCCTGTACGGGTAAAACACATTACTGACACGGTTGCTCTACCTACTGCGCTAACAAGTCATATGATAATATGTAGTTTTATTTTCATTTTTATAGGTTGTGGCATTGATCTGCCTAACCTATTTTTTGCATTGTTATTGGTCTTTGTTATGTAAACAAAGGCTCAAGTTATCATCCTAGGACAGTATATGCACATAAATATGACAATACAACATAGAAGATCACAAAAGAAATTTCTGTAAACAGAACAAGATAGACATATTTTATTAATCATTATCCAATGTAACTTTATCTGGAAAGTAAAAATATAAAGTTAATTTATTCATCATAGTTTTTTTACACATTATTATCAAAAATATATGAGAAAGCTTATAAATAGCTGATAAATAGATTGTGTTTCTATTCTAGTTAAAGGATGTATAGCCATGCATGTTAATGCATAAACATTGGGATGTTTCCCTTCTGCCGATTTTTCACAAGGAAGTCACTTCTCCCTAAAATTTCCCCCCAGGATGAGCCCTGGGTACGGTACAGGTTTTATCGCCGCTCTTAGTTACAAAATGGCGGATCACATCGTCAATATTTGTAAAACGGCGTGTGATCCTCACCAGAAGAACGCTGAGAGTTTAAGATTGTTATACCTGAAATGTCTTTTGAAAACATAGAAGGGATCCATGTATTTGTGCCACCCGGGAGGGATGTCAGAAATTTCCATATCTAAATTTCAATATACTGGTGAAAAAAAAAAAAAAAAAAAAAAAAATCCGACCTACCTTACCTATTCCTTGAGAGCATGTTACCCTAACAAAACAATTTTTTTTTTAGGCCTTAGTAAAAATTTACAATTTTCAACTTGTGTCGCGCATAACTCAAAAGTATTTGACGTAGAGTCATGAAACTTAATTAGGTACGTGTAATTCCACAGAGCTAAATCCCTAAGGTAACGGAAAACAGTGTTAAGCTAGGTTTTCAAAAAGGTCGATTAATCAATCGTGTACGGTTTACAGATCACGTGCTCCTGCATGTACCGGAAACAGGCCACGTGCTCCTCCATGCCTCAAAAACTAATCGCTAACCAATACCTGTGGAATGGCGCTTTGTAGTGCAGTAAAATCTTTAAAGACATTTTCAAGAGTATTCATATAAACAAAGAGGCAGAATTAAAACTGTTCAATAGAATTTATTTAAACTTGTTGTTAGAATATGATAATGGAAACATTTTAAGCGAAACAATTTAGGGGTCACCGTCCTCATTATTGAGTTGTCTGCCTCTGAATTGGACTTAAATGCTTAATTCAAGGGCAATTAATTATGTTTACATTTAAATTTTGTTTACCTTGGCCATCTGTCTGTCCGTCCGTCCGCCCGTCCGTCTGTCTGCATTAAGCATGTCCGGCCTTCACAGGTCAAACTACTGGTGGGATTTCAACCAAACTTTACAGGAGGGATCAGTACCATCCCTAGTTGTGCACATCAGCGGCACAAATTCCGCTTCACTGTACAAAATGGCTACCAGAACTAAAAATGCAAAAATCTTGTCCGGCCTTCACAGGAAAACCTACTGGTGGGATTTCAACCAAACTTTACAAGAGTACTCAGTGCACATGGCAAGCTAAGGTTCCGCTTTGCTGCACAAAATGGCCCCCAGAGCTAAAATAGTAAAATCTTTTCTGGCCTTCACAGGTGGGATTTCAACCAATCCTTACTGCAGTGAACAACATTTTGAATTAAGTTCTTTGCAAATGCTTTACATGTAAGTAGCCTATTTATTCATAGGGAAACCTAAGAATTTTACTTTAAACTGTTAATTTACTTTCTTGTATGTTCATTTTAACAACTTTATTGTCAATTTTAGGTATACCTGTAATGATGAATTTCAAAGTTGTCAAACACATTCAGATTATACCTGTACAACATTAATAGCAAAATGTTGGGTTTTTTCTATTTTCAGGTGGGTTACAAAGTGGCTATGTCTAGAAGATAATTATTAGAGAGAACCAAGAATATCTTGAAAGTTGGACATGCAGCAATACAGAAATTCAAAGACTTTATCCAGTTGATAAGCTAGTAAGTGAAGTTTTAGAGTTTACTGATTGTTATTCTCTTCAATATTAAAGGGATTCCACTGAGGTTTTTTGACATGATGGGACTGAAAAGATTTTTTCCAGACAAATATACCATTTGATGTAGGTTTAGACCACTAATCTTTGTGCAAAATTTCAGATTTTTCGCGCTCTTCGTTTTTCCAGAATAATTATTCAAATTGTAAAAAAATGACCCAAAATGAAAAACGTTTAAATGCTTTTCACTCAAATCGGGCTAAGAAAAACATAAAAATACGATTTTCAATTTATTTCTAAGTACATTTCTTAACTATCTTTGCATATATTTCTGTTTAAATTGCCCCAGCTCATTTATGTAAGAAAATCAAATTTTATGTTTTTAGGCTTTTAAACCTCAGTGGAGTCCCTTTAATAAAATTTACATTTGAATTTGAAATTTTAATGTGTCAAGAAGTTAATAGTGTGATTTTGTGTGACTTCAAATGTAACCTGCCTTTGCAGATAGTGGCGGCAAGGCCAAGTAGTTATCATGCTGGACTAGTAAGCTAGCCGCATGGGTTCAAACCCCTTCAGGGGTATTAGTTGTTGTTTCCTTGAACAAGAAACTTTACACTTATTGCTCAGTACTAGTTGGTTTCTGGAATGGATTTGAAAGTGTGTCTATAAGCTTTAAATTAAGCTTCCTACGCAATCAAACTAAAATAAATTCTGTATATAAAATAAACCAGAATTATGATTTTGTTACAATAATTTTGCAAACCCTGTAATAGTATGTGTAATATTTCTACATAATTTGATGCATTCTGGTGACTTGGTTGTTAAAAATTCTGCAAGATATCTCTTGCTTCTGGGGACTTTGAATTATTCTGTGTGATTCTTAAAGGGTATTATCTTATGAAATTTTCTGATAAAATTTATCAAAAGTCAAACTATATTGGTTACCTCTCTGGCATGGGTTCGATCCCCGGGAGATGCTTTGGTAGTTTAGCGCGGAGGAAGGTAGTCTAGTACTGATGTAACTCTTCAGGAACGATGGTTAGGAAACTATCCGCCTATATGACTGAAATACTGTTTAAGAAAAGGCGTAAATGAAACAAACAACAAAACAAAATCCATTATTGTACGGTTGATTCCTGAAAAAGTTGTAACATAGAATGTCTCTGTTATTTAAAACACATGAATAATGAACATAAACAGAATAATGGCGGCATGGCTGAGTGGTTAACACATCAGACTAGTAATCTAATGATCGCTAATCGCATGAGTTCAAACTCTGTCAGGGGCAAGTCGTTGTTTCCTTGAGCAAGAAACTTGCACACACACATTGCTCAGTACTGGTTTGTTCCAGGAATGGATTCGAAAGTGTGTCTATAAGCTTATAGCTTCCTACACAATCGAACTAAAATAAATTCTGTATAAACCATGTTCTGCTATATTAAATATTATTTTGCTATTTAAGAAGGGTTTTTTTCGTTTAGCAATGATTTTCTGCATGCACCATTAATTTTGCTTTTAAGGCAATAAATTACCATATTTATTTTATACAAGCATTTTGGAAGTATACTTTTTTTTAAAATTCAAATAATAATTTTTCCATCTGTTATATACATGTAGCTTTATACACTTTAAAACTTGTCTGAAAGAATATTAACTTGTGTGTCTGCAAAAAATGTATGTACAGTCAGGAGTAAAGATAAGGTACAGTTTGATGAACTTGAAAAAGATTTTTCATATACAGTGTAAATGGCCCTTTGTACTTTGTAGTGGAATAACATCTTTAAAGACCTTTTTGGAAGTTTTCATATAGACATATAGGCAAAATTAAAACTGTTCAATAGACTTTATTAAACTTTGGCATGTTGTTAAAATATGATAATGGTTACATTTTAAGAAAACAAATGGGGGGGGGGGTCAATGTTCTCTTTGTTGAATGATAAAATCAAGGGCAGATAATTCACAATAAAGGTAAACAAAACCTATTTTTTTGCCTATTTTATATAGTTTACTTCCATTTGAGTCAATGTGCAAAATTTCAATAAAGGATAAAGAGTAAGTAGATTGGCTTTTTCCCCCTTCTTTTCTAAACCTGTGACTTTTTTTACTTAAAAAATGGCCTATTTTTTAAAAAGAAATTTATTACCTTTATTCAAACTAAAAAAATAACAGAAATAAGATGGAATTACCTGTAATTATGTATTGTAATAACAATAAAAAGAAAAACATCCAGAAGTAAAAACAAGATTATACAGACATGTAAGTTATCTGCCCTTAAAATGACCTCAAATAAGTAAAAAAAAATCTGATTCAAGGGCAGATAACTCAGAAGTGAGCCTCAAATTTGTTTCGCTTTGACAGAAAAGTTTCATTACAAGGTTATTTCCTTTTATAATCATTTTATTTTATAAACTTTTCTATAGATTTGGTTGAAGTTGATATTACGGTTCATCATCCCTAGCTTTAAATGACTGGTGGAATCCCCTATAATTTCCTGTCAATGTACATATCTAACATTAAGGTTGACTCTGCCATTTCCTATACCTATACAAACCTAATATTTAGCTTGCCTTTATGCCATTTTCTGCACTAGCAATATCTTTAACTTCATGCCATTTCCTGCACTGTTTGATTTTTAACACATTTCCTACACATTTTCATATCTCAAACATTTAGGTTGACTTGATGCCATTTTTTGTATATGTCTCTTAACATTTATACTCAGGACTCTCGCAACTGGGCGATTTGGGCGACTTAGTCACCTTAAGTTTCTGAACTTCGCTGAGTTTGAACATCAAAGCTAAATCGTCTTCACAGCGCTTTTTTATTTACTGCATATCAAACAGGGCATGTCAATAAATTTAATCTTCGCCTCCAGGCGTAAATCAGACTGAAGTGGTGCCACACAGTTACAGTACTGCAGATAATTGACAGCAATTAACACATTCAAGTGACATGATATGCAGATGCATCACACGTATTGCCCTTTAATTCCCCAATGTACTGTAAACATCAACATCCCAATTTTTAGCATAATTTTACGACACATGGCACTATTTTGACTTTGGATTCTTTCATGTGAGGAAGCTATCCAGCTAGCTTACGGAACGTCTGTGGTTCTACTCAGGTGCCCGTTCGTGCCTGAAATAATGCACGGAAAGGGTACCTGAGGTCTTCCTCCACCAGTAAAGCTGGAACGTCGCGATATGACCTATACTGTGTCGATGTGACGTAAAACCCAAAACAAACAAACAGTGTAAATTTACTTGCATATAAATTAAGACACACAGGAGCACATGTATGTACGCTTGATACCTGTTTGATAGTAAAAACAAAATTTGTTAAAGAACTTAAGATATTGACCCTTATTAGACCAATTATTGACAAGTTTGGCGCAAACTAGAAATTTGAAAATTTTGTTTTACAATGCCTATTGCAATAACGGATGAAAAAAATCTACAAATAATCATAAAATATTTAATTTAATATAATCAAAATCAACGACTAGAATTGTAAGTTTTTCTGCAGGAAACAAACTTTCATTTGTCACATATTTTCGCAATGGCAATTTTTACGATGAAAAAATAAAGTAACCAAAATGAATTTTTTTTTGTAAAAATGTGTCAACTAGAACTTTAAATGTAATTTATTTATGAAAATTACTTCAGGTATTGTTTACATAATTTAGATTAAGAAATTTGCCAGTATGTGTTGTACAATGAATATTTTCTGAAAGAGGTGGGGAGGGGGGGTTAATCAGGAAGAAAATATAATGGTCTGATGATAGAGGGTTTTAGAAATTATATTTCAAATAAATTTTAATCACTTTCTAACAGTTAAGTGTTTCCCATTTGGACATTAAATACTTGTTTAATTAAAAAAAATAAATAGATCTTAATAAAAATATCTGCATTTTTATTAAATCAAAAAATCTGAATATGTATTCCTATTATGACTACATCTTTTATATATAATTTAATATTAATTAATATTACTGAGTAAATAGATAAAACATCTTTTTATAGATCAAATCAATGTGCCTAGCACTTTTTCTCTTCTCCCTATGTCCTATAGGAGCTGAGAGAAGTCACTTCTCCCTTAAAAAAGAGCCCTGATACTGTACCATTTCCTGTACCTACACATGTCAGTTGACTTTATACCTTTCCTTCAGTACCTGTACACATCCATAACATTTAGATTTACTTACCATTTTACAAACTGTACACATAATATTATTTAGCCTTTAGGTTAAGTTTCATGCCATTTCCTTTGCCTGCTTATTTCTTTCATATTAAGGCTATTTTCAAGCTGACAAAATTATTTTCCTGTTCACAAGGTTGACTTAATGCCATTTCCTATACCAGTACATATCTATAACATTTAGATCTACATCATGCCATTTCCTGTTCCTGAATCAGTATGTATCTCCAATATTCAGATTGACGTCTGGCTATTTCCTGTTCCAGTACTTATCTCCGGACATTTAGGTTGACCTCCTGCCCTTTCCTACACATGTACATATCTCTAACATTTAGGTTGATGTAAAATTGACATCATGCCATTTACACTCTTAACATTAAGGTTGAATTCATGTCATAGACATATCTTTAACATTTCAGTTGACTTTAAACCATTTCCTGTACCTGAACTTTAGGCTTACATTAAGATTAAATTCATGCGCTTTTCTTTACTGTTCACATTCTTAACATTTAGGTTGACTTAATAGCATTTTCTGTTCCTGCACACATATCCTACATTATGGTTAATGTTATGCTGTTTCCATTGCCTGTACGCATTTCTTCCATTTTGCTTGACTTCATGCCTCTCCCTGTACCTCTATACATCTCTGAAATTTGGGTTGACTTCCTGCCATTTCCCCGTACCTGTACACATCTTCAACCTCTAGGTTGACTATGCAAGTTCCTGTACCATACACATCTCTGTCATTTTGGTTGTCTTTTTGCCATTTCCTGTGCCTGTACATTTGGCTAACATTAAGATTGACCTCAT